TGATTTTAAGGGTTTCAATAAATGCCCATTTCCCCCCCCAAAAGTCTGAGTTCCATCATGACATCCCCAGATGGTGCACTCTCAACTCTTATGTATGTTATAACCGCCCCCCCCCTCCCACCTGCCCAATACCTTATTACTGTAGCCTATGTCGCACTAGATGCGACTCAGTTAATACCAGTTGCTGGAGAATTATTGGTGCTTGTTTTCCATTCTTGGATACTTCACTTAGTAGTATGGTTCCAGCTTAACCAGGAAACTATAGATGCTTATCACCATGTTCTTAGAGCTGAATATGTGATCCCTGTTTTTTTGTACCCCCATAATATGCCAAAATAGAAAAAAAACAAAAAACCTAAGACAAGACAAATGACTGACTCCTCAGCTACCCCTCCAGCTTAAGTCTGGACCCAGTCTGGACCTTCGTCCGGCCTGCCCCTGCCCAGCACGCTGGACTCAGGCGCTGGACACAAGAGCAGTTCACTGGCAAGTCAGGTCCTGCGGGGTGTGGGGTCCCCCAGTGGGCCCACACAGTCTCATCTGAGGAAACTGGTGAAGAAAGTGGGCAAAGCCGCAGAGAAGATTCCACGGCACTGCCCACGCCCCGTCAGATTACATGCCGATCTCTGAAGCCTCCCGGCCTCCCTCAACCCCCCTTGGCCTCCCGTGACAGTCACCCAGGGCCTGTTTGCTCACGCAGCATCTCTCCCAGGCTGCCTCATATTTGCTGGCGGAATAACACGCCTTTCTAGTCACATAGTAAATTTTCCAAGAACAGGGTGGTACGTTTCTGATCACTCTTAGGCAACGCTTGGCAGAGTACTGCTCTGCTTACAGCGCCAGGCCCCCGGAAGAGGGTTAGAAGTGGTCTCAGGGAGCCATGGGCCCAAATCCCCATTTCACAGGCAAGAGGCAGGGCGTCTGAGAGGGGACATGCCCACAGTGGGAACGGGCTGGAGAACGGCAGCAGAGGACAGAGCCGACTCACGTCTCCTTCTCCTGGTGGAGTCTGCAGGCCTCCTGCTGGAGGCTGCCCAGCTGCTCCTGCGCCTCCCGCAGCTCCCGAGACGCCCGCTCCAGCTCGCGGGCCAGCTCCTGGTTAGTGAGCTTCAGCTTGGTGTTCTCAGCCTTGGTTTCATGCTTGTCACTGTGCAGGGCTGAGCACTGACCTTCCAGCTGAGAAGAAAGGGGAGCAGAGGGGAATGAAGACCAGCCACCACTACCGGGCTGGCCCCGGGCCACCAGTGCTTTCCCTGCTTGGAGGGCAGGAACTGTCACTGCCACCACGTACCTCCCTCAAGCCGAAATCAGCATTTTCCTGCCCCTTAATTCACACACACAGACTTCTGCAGGCAGGAAGGAGCTTCCAGCGCACATCTCCTCTCTCCCCTGTCTCCACGTGGGACCACTAAGCAGTCCTGACGGGGCTGCCCTGTCCAGAAAGACCACTAGCAAAGGACATGCCACAGTCCATGTCTCCCATCTCAAAGTCAGAACGGGCTTTGACATAACCTAAATCTATCTTGTTGTCCTTTAAGCCAATTTTTTTCCTTAGTCCTTGATGGAGATGGGGAATAACTAAGTGGCATTTTTCTTAAAAGCATCCTTCCCGGTTTTGCATGTCGATGGCAAGTCTATTTATTCCCTTTTATCCTCTCAACTAAGTAAGTCCAATTCCTTTAATCTGGAGAAGCATTTTAGGGTTGCCAGAAGTCATGGACATTCTTAGGGAATAACTAAAACAGGTCAAACAGAACACAGACCTCTTCTATGTCCCTAAAGCAACTAAACAACCTGCACTTTTATAACTTCAGCTTTTCTTGGCTGGTGATTATGCTTTGCAGAGCTTCCAACACTCAAAGTACATACATCAGAATACATTTAGCCTAATGAATGTGGCCAGTAAGGGGAGGAAGAAACAGCAACAAGGGTTTCATGTGACTCTCAAGAGGCTGCTATGGAACCCGCAAGCACGCAGCCATTACATTGAGTGGCGGTCATTCGTTGAGGGATAAATCTGATTGGCAAGAACTTGATGCATAAGTGAGGGAGAGGGCGTAGGAGAAGCAAGGTACAGCTGGACACAGGGAATGGAAAGGCAGCTGCAGTGCCCAGTGTGGACATCATCCTGCTGCAGAAGGAAAGAGACTCACATCCACAGCTGGGGTGGCAGCAGCTGTGGAGCAGTCTCTGGCCTCGGAAGGGGTGTCTTCAAGCACATTTTGATGTGTTCCTAAAAACAGCCCTCTCTGTTCAAATGGAAGCAACGCATGTGAGTCTGTCCAGGGCTGGGTTCCTTCTAGTGCCAGGCAAAGAAACTAGGAAGCCAGTGGCACCTGGCCTCTCTCCTCCGTGAGCCCTTGCTATGAAGAGGAGGCTGCTGATCGGAGGTTGCCTGGATAATCAATCTTTCTGGGGTCATTAGCCAGGTGTCCCCAGCCATAGAGACACTGCCCTGAGAGCACACTACCCAGCAGCCTCCTGGGGGCTCGGGAAAATCAGAGAGGAATGTCTCGTGTCTCGTGTCTGTGTGCTCCCTGCAGGGTGTGGCAACGGTCACTAAGGAGGCCGACTGTGCAGACAGGGGAGGGGCAGACTGACCTTCCAAGGGGCTTTGCCAGCTGGAGGTAACCGTGGCCTTCCTGGAGGGAAGAAACTTGTCTGCAGCATCCCCCAGAATATCAGTGCTAGACAATGTCCCTTGTGCCTCAGCGTCTCCCCCCTTTCTTATACGGGAGGCAGGAAACAAATTCAAGTTTTGGCATTCTGGTGGCTCTTGGTATAATTACATGAAAATGTTTGCAGGTACCTCGTGGGGAAATGCTTGGCAACTTTTCCAAGTTAAACACCTGGCACTGGAGAAATAACGGCTTTATCTTAGGATCACCTGTGATTTTTAATTCCGTCTTTTATACAGCTAAATGGCTCCTCTCAGATGAAAAACTAAAGTGCTTAAGGGAAAGGCAGGGAAAGTGGGCAAGAGCCGAGAAAGAGACGGAGTGAGGAGCCGGGGCCGCGGGCAACAACATACCCTTTTCTGCTTCTGGGTGAGCTGCTCCAGCTCCTGCTCCTTGGATAACAGTTTCTGCTCCAGCTCCCGACTGCGGGCCTGGAACCTCTCCGTGTCCTGCCAAGGGGAAGGAGGGACACACGGGACCCGAATGTGCCACGCCTGGGTTAAAGATATTTTCCCCACCCTGAGCCTACTCAACACAGGGCCCATCAGGGCTCTTCCCACGACACTCCAGGGCTCCAGGGAGCCACCTGCCAGCTAGGGAGGACCAATGAGACAGAGAGGGTAGGCGCTCAGTGAGCACGGCGTGAGCTCCCACCACGTGGACCATGTCGCCGAGTGTGCACCACCACCCGACACCCCTCCAGAAACAGGGGCAGTGTCAGCCAGTGGGGGGGGGCTGAGCAGGGAGAACAGGCCTGAGTTCGAATCTCAGGCCTCGATCTCCTCATCTGTAAATTGGGGGTGGGAGGGGAAGGCAGACAATTGGCCTCACTCTGGAAACACATGGGCGTTGCTCCTTCTTCTTGAGGGTCTAAGTGTTCACCATTTTCCCGTGGTGCCCGAGGTTCCGCAGGCCCTGGTCCCCACTGTGCTCTACCCCTATGCTTCATACCCCCTGCTCGCAGCCTAGACTGGCTGCTCCACGCAGACGCGCCCAGCCCCACGGATGCGGCTGCGAGGGGACCTGGCTGTGAGACGAAGAGGAAAGCGTGTGGCTGTCGGACGTGGGCACTCGGCAGAGCCAGGTCTGCTGTAGGGTGTGAGCCGGGCAGCACGAGACTTGGGTTTCTAGCCCCGCATCACCCATCGGACTTGCTCCATTCTTCTGGATCGCTGTCTCGCCGTTCACAGAAGAGAAACAAAAATACCCATGCCACCAGCAGCAGGCACAAAGGAGGCATAAAATGTGCAGAAGAGAGGAAACCATCATAACCTCAGATATTAATAACTCGCTGCTGGGGCCCCAGGCTTCTCTGTGACACTGAACGGCTCCTTCCCGGGGACAACAGCCAGGGGCACTGCATGGGAGGGCTGGAGGTTGGCATGACAGTGACAGCAGCACAGCGGGGCATCACGGCCACGCTCGGGTCAGAGGCTGTGGACAGCTCCGTTCAGAGGCTCAGGGTGTTTCTGAGCGTCGTCTGGAGATGCTACCGGTTCCTCTGCCCGTTCAGGCAGGTAGATGGGAGAAGCACGGGAGAGCCTGTGGACATCTTAGCGGCTTCCCTGTTCACGCGAAAGGCATAACCCTAAGCACGGAGCTGTAGAGGCGTCTGGCGTAGAAAAGGGAGGGGGCAGAAGGGGTGGGGCTGGTTCACCTTCAGTGGCACTGACTTGTCCTGAAGTGCTCCCTCTGGCCTCTGCCCACGCCCACCTTGCCCGGCCCCCTCTGCTTCTGGAATCACGTCTCTTTCTTTAGCTAAGACCTTGACCTGCAGCCATGGTCCAGGCAGAAAGGGCAAAACGCTCCACAGAGCTCGGCCTCTCTCTCTGCAGGGTGCCGTTTGGGACAGAGTCCGTCCTACGGCAGGGGAAACGCTGCTGTTCTCAGAAGCTGTTTTCGGGCCTGCTGGTGAGAAGCGTGTGAGTTCCGCCCGCCGCGTGCTGTGAGGCCGGGCTCCGCCGGAACGCCGCGCACAAGCACGGGAGGCCTAGAAAGGCCCACGGGCCTCCAGAGGGCACCAGCTGGAGAACATGACTGCGTTTTTCTGAGACGTGTCCTGAATCCTTCTCTGAGCGACGCCTGTGACGATACCTGGAGCAGTGGTGTGGGAAACCTGAAGCAGCATCAAATTAAAATGTGGTCCAAGGGAAGGGGCTGTGACAATAGCCCAGGCTTAGCACTGAGGCCAGGGAAGCCGCCGCCCAAAACCAAAGGCTTTTCTGCCAAGAGCCCACCAAGTGACAGTCCAAAGAAGGGTGATAGAGTTCCCTGGAGCTTTTTTTTTTCTTCTTTTTATGAGCATGTTCCAAAAAGGGTCCTGCTTAGCTTGGCAACGACAAGGGTTTTGTCAGTCCTGACATCCCAAGACAGATGGCAGGGCCTGGTGCGTGTGGGTGTGCCTGCTGTGCAGGTCTGGGACTGGCCAGTGTCAGCTCCGACTCCACAGGGAAAGTGGGCGCCTTCGCCGTCTTTGGTCGCTCCCCTGTCCACTCATTATGGACTCAACAGTATTTGTTGGGCACCTGCGATGCTCCAGGCGTGGTCCAGGTGCTGCGATACCTTAGTAAGTAGAAGATAAGACCCTGCTCTGTGCAGCTGTGTACTAGGACAAGGAGACAGATAAGAATCAGCGAAAACAAACGGGCATTACATGTCACTTGTGAAGGTGACAAACGCCAGGGAAAGCAAGCAAAACAGGGAGAGAGGGACTCGGTAGTGCCACGGCGGGGGCCTGTAACCCCCTTGAACGGGGGAGGTGGTGAGAGCAGACGCATCCCGGCCCTGGAGCCGAGCGCACAGCGCGACTCACCTTCAGGAGAAACTGCTCCTTCTCGTTTTTGATCTGCTGCTCCATCTCCTCATAGAGATGCTGGATTTCTTCATCATAAGCAGCGATTTTCCTGCAGCAGGGGCAAAAGAAGAGTCTGTCGGGGTCTACGCTGCGGTCCCGTTCCACTGGCCACTCCTGGAGCTCAGACACCAGCACCCGCGGCCTCTCCGCCCCTCCTCAGCCACCTCTCCGCGGCCCACACGCTCCTGGGCCAGGCTGCGGGCCACCCGCCCTCGCTCCACGCCCGGCCCCCACCAGCCCGCTGCCCTGCCCAGCCGAGCCTGCGGCGCACGAAGCTGCGCCCACGGGCTTCTCCCCGCCCGGTTTCCTGGTTCCTCGCCCCGTCTGGACCCCTGCGCCACCACCTACAGCGGCGCCCTCCAGATGCCCTGTGTTGGGGCTGTGGGGTCTGGGTGTCCTTTTCTTAAAATAATTGTGCTTTATTTTTAAATTGTTTTTCTTTCAGATGCCAAATCCAAAGCAAGATTTCTGTGTTTCTTATAAGACTCTCAGGAGAGTCCTCGACGATGATGACAGCCACCACACCCCGAGGGAAGGCCACACGGTCTCAGTGCCTGCGCCACCCCACAGGGCCACACGCAGACGGCGCGACAGAGGCGGGGCTGGTGAGGGGACGGCGTGACAAGGAGGTGTCCTCCTCCCCACTCTCCCTCCAGCATCCTCTCCCCACCCTGAAGAGCCCGCAGGACGGGAAGAGAGTACCTGGCACTCTGCTCCTGCACAGAGAGTGAGACAAACACAGCTATGGGGACAGGGGTGTAGGCCGTCCCCGGGGACGACCCTTTTCTGTGCCCCACTCCCTCCCCGTAGTAGGCCTTCCTTCCCATGCCGGGTGCTAGCATTCGAACTGAAACTGGAAGTTATCACACCTAAGCATTAACATTCCCAGGTAACTGCATTTTTAAGCCTTTTCTCCCACCACGTGAAAGCCCCTCTCTGTGGCCCACACTCTCTGTCCTCTCCCCTCCTGTTAGGGGAGCTCCAGCCTCCCTGACCGGCTGATGTGGTTTTCAAGGCCTGTTTTGAATATGCAACACACCCCCCCTTCCCCAAATTTTGGCCCCTGCCATTCTAAATGCAAATGATAGCAAACCCACCCTGTCCTTCATTCAGGAGACTCCAATAATTGAGGTAATAGCCCTAGTTCTCAGGTCTAAGCGGGATTGGGGAGATCTCTGAATAAAACATAAAGGATGGGAATTTATTTACATGATGAGCCCTGCATCATTCTAACCCCTACCTCCGAGGTCCTCTTGGGACTCCACCCCAGGGCCAGACCTTCGCTGCTGTTGGAGGGTTGGCTGCAGCCCAACCGCTGCCCCTGCCTCACCTGCTACCTGCTGGGGGAGCATTTTGACCATGTGCACAGGTGAACAACGAACAAGCAGCCATTTGACTGGTGTCCTTCCAGTTCTACAGAAACCACAAATCCGACCCAGACAAAGGAGATGGTGTGAGCCTCCGGGTTAGGGTCATTTGTAACAGAGCACCAGGGGCTTGGCTCTACTCCCAAGACTGGAAACTTGACTTGGGAACAACTGCACAATAATGGCCCCAGGCTGTGCTCAGCAAAAGCCGGCAGTGCAAGACTTCCGCGAGCTGTGGCCCTGTCTGTGTGAATGTGTTCTGTATCGCTGACCCAGCAAATATCTTTTTGGCTAAGAGTAAGAAATGTCATCTTGGTGAATGACAGATGTTTAGGATTGTTACTTTTGCTCTCAGCTAACCCTTAATGATTAAAATAAAATCTTGGGGGGAAAGTAAGGAGAAAATGCCCATGCTGTTGAAGAGGAACAGCTCAGGGACTGAAATAGGTACATTTTGAAGGAATTTTAGAAAGTAAGATGGTTTTCTCTTAGTGTCTGGAATTATCTTCCCATGTTTGAAAAAACTCAGATGCTTGATGGCAAATGGTATGAAGGAAAACTTCAGACATTGATTCCAACTATATAAATACAGGAGAACTAGTAAAGCAAGATGAGAGAAACTTAAAAATTGATTTGGCTTTGCTATAGCAATACTAATTACAGTCATTTGTATAAATTGTTTAGCATTCATGCCTAATAACCAAGCAAGGTTTTAAGTCTATAATATCATTAAATGTGTTATATTAACTTTGCTCTAAGTTTTACTTGACTAAATTAATATAGTCTATGTTTTTCATGTGCACATATCAATTTGCTAGTCATGAATTAAGTTATTTTATAAACCACTAAGAAACAACTGGAGGGAAGACAGATACAGCCTCTGAAAGGTTCCTATCCCCCGTTCTCACTCACACAGTCTAGGTCCACTGCACAGAAGCCCTGCGTGGGCCCAGCCAGCCTCACACTCACAACCAGGACTTTGGAAATGCCAGCCTCCGGGGAGACCCTCCAGACCTGGATGACATTATGACGAGCCTGGGTCAGAACATTCCAGTCCCAGGAATAGGGAGCATTACGGCACTCTGCACACCAGTCACATCACTAAAGCAGCTCACGGATCAGAAGACCTGTCTCCTGATCCCAGAACCAGCTCACTTCCTCAGTGTGACCTGGGCAAGGGCTTTGACCTCCTCACACCTCTCACACGGTAGCACCTGCCCGTGTTCCTCCCGGTGTTGTCATGATGAACAAACAAGAGAGTGGATACGAAAATGTATTCATCACAGAGCCCTGGATACATGTACAGGATTATTTATTATTATAATTATTATATAATCTTGGGCAGCGCCCCAAGGGGAAGAGAGTCTTGGTTTTAAGGATAAAGGGCTGCTGGGTTTGGAAAGGCTCAGAGGCAACCAGGGAGATGAAGAAGAAACAGCTCACTCAATAAAAACTCCCGTTGGACCAATCAATTAGAGATGCAGGCTGTGTGGGAGGGGGACATGCCGAGCTGCAAGCCTGTCTGCAGCAGAGGCAAGAGGCTCTCTAAAAAGACCTGCACATACGGCACGCCACGCCCCAGCAGTTCTCGCCACATTCCAACATCAGAGGAAAGAGACGACTCATCATGTTTGCTTGCCATATACATTTGGTTGCTACAGTTGCTAAAACCACTCATCTTGCCTGATGCACACAAACTGACTTTGAAGTCTTCTCCACGAGGATTTTCCCTTCTGTTCCAACCCTCACTGACCTCTTCTCTGAACTCTGATGACAGCATATGCCTTTATTTGACCATTTAATATTTAACCTTAAATGGTCCTGAACAACTGTTTTGTTTGGATTCACGTCGTCTCAACTAGGTTATGAACATTCAGCACACATTTATGTTACCCACAGGGCCTGTGCTCAAAATGTTTATGCTGAAAACCTCTAAAAACTCAATTTACAACTTAGGATACCAAATTCAGAAGCTCATGGACCATATTAAGGGAACACTAGATTCCAAGGGAATTCAACAATTTCAGGGTTGGAAGGTTTGTCTGATCCAACCACCTATTTTTCCAGTGTTAAAATTCTTGCCACAATAGCTGCATTAAATATTCACCCAAACTAGGTTCCCAGACCTCCAGTGACAGGGAACCTTCTGTCTCTCTAAGCCATTCTTTCATATTTGGACTTTTTTCTGGAATCTTCCTTCCAATGCCTCTCCACATTCAAATAAGAGGGGTCTGGTGTTAGCATTTGAACTGAAACTGGAAGTTATCACACCTAAGCATTAATGTTCCCAGGTAACTGCATTTTTAAACCTTTTCTCTGACCACGCAGTGAAAGTCCCTCTCTATGGCCCACACTCTCTGTCCTCGCCCCTCCTGTTAGGGGAGCTCCAACCCACGGAAATCTGTCTTTCCATGACCTTCTCCCTCTCCTGCATAAAAGCCCTTCACATATTTGAGAACAGCATCAAGACTACAGGCAGCTGCTTGGGTGGAGGTCACTTCCTCCAGCTATGTCTCACATGGATTATTATTTTTTTGGTAGGACCCCTTACAATTCTCTTCCCTTTTCTCTGAATGGGCTGTAATTATCTTTCTCAAGCCATGGAGCTCCAAACTAAATGCCCAGTGTCTGAGTCTGATTAGTGCAGATTAGAGCTGGCTATCGCCTCTCTTGTTCTAGATGCTGCATATCTGTTCATGCAGCCTAAAATCGCATTAACTTTTCTTGGCAGCCACATCACAGCTGATGAATGCTAAAGCCATTTGTCAACTAAAACCTCTACATTTTATGTCTGTGATTGTTTTTTTAAAAGATGGTATTACTGAATCATATCTCTCCCACCTTGTGCTTCTGCCATTGGCTTTTTGGACACAGAGCAGGATCTCAAATGTAATTCTATTAGATTTCATGCTTCTAGTCATCCTGTGTACTCAACGACCTTCCAAGTTTTGTTGATATTTTAAATTTTTAATCAGAATGTAAGCAAAATAATCTACAATGTTGGTTTTTATGATTTAATTCATCTGAGAATTATTTAGAAGATTGTTTTTAAAATATACAAACTACTGGTTTCTAGTTTTATTGTATTATAGTAAGAGAATATACTGGTAATGTATTTGCTTTTTGGAATCTATTATCCTTTTCTCTGCAGACAAAAATATTATCAATTTTTATATAACTGCTATGAGAAGAATGCATATTCTATTTGTAAGGCACAAAATTCTATATTCGTTGCTTAAACTTGCTCATTGAAGGTTTCAGATACTTATATCCTTCATGTACTTTTGCCTGACTAATTTGTCATATCTGAGATAAGTTTTTTAAAGTCTTATTTTTATCAAATTTTCTTTGTTTTCCTAAAAGTTTCTGTCTTATGTATCTGGCTGCCATGGTGTTTGGTGCATGAAACTTTATATATGTTGTATCTTCTTTATGAATGGAACTTTTTCTTATAACTATAAAATACTCCCTCTTATCTTTCTCTATTCATAAATTGGTAAAAATGCTGAACAAAACAAGGACAACCAGTAGTAGAGCCCTCTGAGCTATTACTTAATAACATGCATGCAACTATTCAATCTGTCTTACATTAGCCATTCTAAAAACCCTTCACCCCCTACCCCAACCCAGCAGTGTCTATTTAATTATTCCATTTTCTGCTATTTGACCCTAGTCATTCTGA